TACAATTTAGCGTTTGTATATATACAGCTACCAAGGAAACTTCTAGAACACTGTAAAAGGGAAACGTCTAGAAAAATTGTAGAAGGGAAATGATTATGCAAGTCAAATAGAAAGTTTTAATCATGCCATCAGTAACTACGATTGTTCAAGTAATTTCTGAACTGCACAATAACATTATTTTGTAAACAACTATAAATAGGTCAAGACAACTCAAATATATACATGTCATAAATCCACACAAAAAAATTTAGACCAAGATGAATAATCATGACAATTGCAAGATGAAAGAGTCTTCGATTTTATGTACTACTCTAAAAGATCTTTGGAGTTTTTAGTATCCACATCTGATTCACGCCTACTCTAGAATAGGTAGTTTCACAATAAATTTGAAGACCGGCTTTGTTTGCTGATAAAAGTGGTAAATGTCGTGGGGGTATATGTTGTGTTTCGAAGAGAATTATCAATACCTCATTCAGGTATCAATCAGTTTATGTAAAGTTAGTTACACACACCAACGATGTTGTTTGGGGCTTTTTCTGCGGGGACAACAACATATATGTCACGGAGGTTGGACAAGTGTTTTGCATTAATTGGGTCTTTAGAAATTGATGTAGCATGTGAATTCATAGACCCAGTCAAATTTTTAATTCTGATTTGTATCAACGACCTCACAGCATTAATCAATTTGGAAATAGTATATACGTCTTCTTTCTCGCGTTTAACCCATTGCCTTGCATGCCAAAAACAGACATCACATTACTATAATACAACTGACTAAAACATTCGAACAAACATACAAATAAATCTAACAAAGACGCCAGATAGTAAGATTGACAAAGACGCCAACACAAAAGTTTTCTAGTTGATAGTAAATTGACAAAGACGATGATAAAAAGTCTTTGTGATATTGAAAAGTAAAACTATGCGTGAAATAGACATTTCAGGACAAATACGTAACTTTTGACATGCTTATGTCAGATTGACATCACCAGTGACCCTTTTGGATCAAAGTTTTCTATGTATACTCTTTTTGCAATAGTATAGGCTAAGCTAAGTAATAGATCTTAGCTTATCCCCACCCCCTTACTTTTGCTTTGTTATGTCGTTTGTGCGAAATACCATTTACTTGTATCCTAGAACTCATTTTAATCACACGTATTGATCTGGGAAGTGTGCAATATTCTTTTTTTCAGTATTAAATGAACGAAACATGTTAAAATGTTAATCGTTTATTATTTAATTCAAAAGCAAGTATTATTTTAATCTCTTTCAAAAATCTCTTTTTTTTTAATAGAAACGTACGCTGTTCCTGCCTATCCGTTTGGGGTTAAGACGTTCTTTCTAGGTGAAAACTGTACAACACATAATATTTCAAGGGTGGAACTAAAGAATGATTTCCCTGACGACTTGTATAGGTCTGCTTGTCAAGATGCAACCGACATGAGCCATTGTAATGTACAGTGTTTTGGAAATTCGACATGTTTAATCGATACTACATGCATGAACCAGATGACAGAACGCTGTTTCATTTCAAAATATTTAAGAACTGTCTACGAATGTATACAAGGAATAAGTATGCATATATCTTTGCTGTTATTGCTTTCCTCAATATATAAAACCAATGCATACATGGTATATTCTATTCAAAATGTTGCAGTTAGCACTTTCAATCTGTTTTGATCATTATTTAACTAAAAATGGGATGGATTCCCACCCCCTCCCTCCCAGGAAATAGCATCGTTAAGCCTAGCTTAGTAATGAATCTCAAAGAGATGTAGGGTATACGCCATTAATGATAATAAAAACAAAAACAACAACACAAATAGGACAGGGTTGAACATATAATACTTAACAATAAACAAATGTCTACATCATTTTCAAGCTCAAACTATTTTAAATCTTAGAAATAAAACGTAAGAAAAGAGAGGCGAAAGATATTAAAGGGACAATCAAACTCATTAGTCGAAAATAAACAACGCCATGGCGAAACAAAAAGACAAACAGACAAACAACAGTACATAAAAAACAACATAGAAAACTAAAGACTGAGCAACAGGAACCCCATCAAAACTTGGGGTGATCTCAGGATGGGTAAGCAGATCCTGCTTCACATGTGGGACCCGTCATGTTGCTCATGTTAGAACAAACCCAGTGATAAGTCTATTTTGGTTGGTCGCATTCAAGTAAAAGGGGACGGGAAAATATGTAAAACGATGATTGAAAAGATATTATCATCGGCTGTCAGTAGAAAAAAAGACCATTAAATTGATTTTTATATTTCTTATTACAAATTAACTAGATTTTCAAATTTCATAAAAAAAAACATCATTCCAGAGATCCTTAATAGGTTTTTGTTGTTAATTCTGTTTTCATAAACGCCACCAGTAAAAGATACACTTATTCAAATTATGTAACTTTTGGTGTATTTGAAAATATGCTCATACGGCATTGATTCAATAACCCTAACAAATACAGACTATTCAATAGGAAGTTGCGAAAATCTTAAAGTATAAAACATTAATACACACAATTAACATTTCATTATTTAATAAGACATACACTAGTACAATGATTTAAGAATGTATTCAGCGGTTATATCAGTCTCGTTGAAATCTCGTTCGGGAATTATTTCCAAAAAAAGGGATACAAGAGGAAAATGTTAATGAATTTAAAAAATATCTAAATCAAGCTAAACTCTGTGAAAAAATTGTGTAGTAGTTTTTGAGTAATAAAATGTTCCGATCCGGTCAGTGTCATCAGCCAAAATGTTGAGAAAATGGGTGAGGGTTATAAAGAAATGATTTTACCAAAAATATGTACATCCCATATCAATTTTTTTTTTCAAATCATTCGTAGATATGTATTTTTTTCAATCATTTATAAGAAAGAAGTTGAAATAATATGCTGTTTGTTCTATAAAACGAGAAAAATCCCAAGTTTATAAAATTGACAGCATGGTTAATTTGACACTAAAAAGCAACAAAATTTTATAAAACTTTCTAATATTAACACCAATCTATAGTTTTTTTTTTTAAGTTAGATTATTTCAGATTGGTCCACTTCATCTAAGTATGAAAAAAGTTTAATTGTGAAACTGTGATTTTTTTCATGATAACAGCCCCAAAATGGGTAAAAATTGAAGAAAAATGGGGAAATCATTAAAAATGGGGTAAAAAAGAAGTGCACCACCATAAACATGATTTTTTTCTTCATCAATTACTTTCTTACAGTCATATAAATCCAAAAATCAGGTAAATGATAATTGTCAAAATTAAGATTATTGTTCTGCGGCAGAATAATGTTTTAGAACTTAAGAACGTGTCCATAATTTCTAACAATGGTCATTTTTTTCAATTAACGACTGTCTTACAAGTTTAAGATTAGTTATGCTAAATAAACACAACTCCTTCATCGGACAAAATGCAAAATATTGTAAAATGGGAAACAAAATCAGATTTTTAACACAGACTATTCTTGATCATTAAAGAGATGTTTGCTACAATTCATGATTTCATATATAAATACATGTAATCAGGAGTGCAAATTAACCAAGAATCCCATGTATTACACTGAAGGGTCTAGAATTATGGGAAATAAATGAGGGCTCCGTAAGAATTCATAACAACTCTACAAGTTTACACGATTGCATTCAATTAAATAAAAAAAAAAGTTTTCCATACGTTTTATTATTCTGTTTTTTACCCACCAAACTAAAGGTCTGTTTTATGTAATTTTCTATTAATGATTCTAAATTAAAGAACAAAAACAGATAGAAATTATACGTATTACTTTTTTTAATTCTCCATTCAATAGAAAATTACGTCTATTTAAAATATATCAAATTAAAATGAAACTTTCAAATTGATACATGAATGGATATTTAGCTTAGCTTGGCTTTTTCTAAAGTCATGAATTTGTAGAACTCATCTTGTAAAAAAACTATTTTTGGCTGCTTTGTAAATCCATTTTGCTTTGTATTCTCTCAAAATTTTTATGCTTTCTGCTGTTAAACAGTTAATTCTAGCGTGGCTGATGATTTTTTTTTTATATAATTTATGTTATCGCAAATCTCCATACTCAGGTAGACGATGGGTTAGGGATGCATTTAATCTAAAGATTGTCATTCAAAATTATCTCCAGTCGTAATATACACGAATTAACCAAATCTTTAAGCTATGTGTTTAAATTATATTATTATGCCCCAGCCAGGGGCATTATGTTTTTCGGTCTGTGCGTCCGTTCGTCCGACCGTCCATCCGTCCGTTCGTCCGTTCGTTCGTCTGTCCCGCTTCAGGTTAAATTTTTTGGTCGCTTCAGGTTAAAGTTTGTGGTCAAGGTAGTTTTTGATGAAGTTGAAGTCCAATCAACTTGAAACTTAGTACACATGTTCCCTATGACAGATCTTTCTAATTTTAATGCCAAATTAGAGTTTTGATCCCAGGTTCACGGTTCACTGAACATATAAAATGATAGTGCGATTGGGGCATCCGTGTACAATGGACACATTCTTGTTTTTATCTTTAATATGAAGGTATTAGATAAAAAAAAAACTTTAGTATCTACCGCACACATTACTCTCACTGTGAATTTGTTTTAACTTCTTATGATTAAGCGCTATATGTAAAGCATATACATATTAAGCGTTTATTCTGTAACATGACATACACTTATGTTTTTACTGAAGCAACTTGTAAAGATATATTTTTGTAACTACCTTTATTTAAAGTAATACGTCCCTGACTTTTAGATTTTGTGTTCTAAAACGAAGGTTAATCAAGAAAACCGCTTTTGATGCAACATAAATAATAGTGTTGTTTTCAATTTTTTTTAGAAATGGCTCCATTTTTCGCCGAAGTTAGTTCATCTGGATTCTTTGGTGTCAATATTTCTTGCCCAAACCAATATTTGATAAGTATAAAAAGCGTATTGCTAGAGGAAATGAAGCATTCCTGTCGAAAGAATGTCACAGTCCCTGATTGTAAAGTCGACGATGATGAGATATTGACAGTTAATGTTGGATGCAATAATCATACAGCTTGCATGACGACTTTTAAACTGAATGCTTCATGTGCAAGGGAAAAAGAATATGCTTTTTCCCAGATTTCTTATAATTGCAGCAACAAGACATCAGTCGTTTCAGGCAAGTACATTTAAGAAAACCTTTCAACTATTGACAACACAATATTTATGGAAATAAATACTTTATTTCAATTTAAAGAAAAAATTATTCATTTTTGTTTCTATACTCGTAAATATGTTCATATTTATCCTTGCAGAATCTTAAACATTATTCATTTTTGTTGAAAAACGTAAACTTAAACTTTTGTTTGGATAATTGTTATAGTTACATTTGATTCTAAAGCTGTTGTTGTCTAACATATTTGAATAAAACAGTTTTGCAAACCTAGAAATGGCCTGAGGATTTGTCGTTACAGAGGCTATATTTACTTTTTTATATGACTATAACCATCAAACCAAATGTATGCTTTAGATAAGACATAGATATGTTTGTAGTTATAGTCACATACATATATACTTATAGTATCTAATATGGATTTTAATTAAAGTTAAATCAAGGGTAGTAGCAGAAACACACACGGACAAAAACTATTGAAAAAGCACACCCATGTGCTCTTCAAACTTTAGATGTATTTTATTTCACATCCTTAGCGTCTAATTAAAGTTGTTTTTCATAAGAAGGAAGGAAATTCTTCAGTGATTACGCATCCAGCCAACATAGGCATGTATGGATCCATAAAACGGATGCAGACACCCCTGTTGGTAGTAACGCCCTTGTAGTCTCATGAAACTACGGAAGGAGGAGGAGAAAACAAATGAAATATTAAAATATTTACTTCTTACACATATCTAAGGAATAATTCTTAAACAAGAAAAGGAGCAATTATTTATCCACGATAGACTAAGTGTCGTTGTAATTATTTAGTATTGATAATCCTCAGCTAGAAGAACCCAAAGCGAAGAATGTATGTAGTTGTTACTTATGACAATGTACCATATATAATTCTTCACCTAGAAGATCCAATTGTAGGCAAGAGGAATTTATTGATGTTAGACTCTCATAAATCGATTATGAAGATTGCTCTGTAATTTGTATATTTAGTAATCACCTACGGATATATGACAAGTAAGGAATGAAAATAAATATATATGTTATGTGTATATTTGGTACAAATGTAAGGATAGCCATGATGAGCAACTAGCTACTTTTATTCTTCGTTTGAAAGATAAGTTTAATTTTTCACTGAAAAGCATTAAAAGTTTTATTTCCCCTCTTTATGGAATGCCTTAGAAACAAAAAGCACTGTCTTTATATTGGTATAACGAATTAACTTCAGTGTAAAATTATAGTTTAATAAACAGAAACACGGAAGATGTAATATTATAGAATATGTTAGCATTCAAATTTTCATCAAACTTATGACGTACTAAAAAGGATTCTTCATAAGTTGTCTTTTTTTTTCTTCTTTTGTAATTGTTTTTTTTTTCAATTTTAAGTCAGAGATGATCTTTAAATTATACACACTCATCATTCCATAATACAATTTTGTTCCAAATTTATAGCTATACATGATTTGCCTATTCCTCATTCATTTAAAGATTATATATACATTGGCTTCAAACAAAATATGTAAATAGACATAATAATCAACTTATTATTTTCCAAGAAACAATTTTAACTAGAACTTTATACGCAAACCTCAGTGTTATACAAGAGTAAACTGTCTGATACTGAATTTTGTAGTTTCTGTACGTTTCTGTACAGAAACTCGAGAGACTGCCATACACCTTTGCACTTTTACCAAAAGTTTATGATTTGAAAAACATTTGTGACATGGAATTACTAATTTCAGCAAAAGCTTTAACTCATGCAGATGTTGATCTGATTATGGTACAAATAGCATTATTCTAATAATTGAACATTGTATATATATATGTAAACTTAACGGTAACAACCCTGCATCTTTTGGTGCTATTGGAACGTACGTGAGAAGATGGAAGATTCAAACATTTAGCTAAACCTAAATCATTTGATTGATTGTAAGACTTGAACATGTTTAAGTCAATCAAAAAAAAATCCTGCTGTCTTAAAATCACAGTTTCAAAGTCGTTTTGTGCTCAAGCTGTTTAGTTGTGCATGACACTTTACTTAATAAGTAATATATATTTAAAAAAAAAATATTAAACGAAAAACCTACCGCAAATGACGATGTTTCATTACGTCTTTTTATACAATTATGTTATACCTATTGTTCATCTGTACATATTTTCTGTTTTTCTGCTTTAGAACTGTCACCTAAATGTATACCAGTTAACGAAACATATTCGATTACCTGTGGACAAAATATAATACAAAGCAATTCTTCAGGCATACAGTTGTATCCGTCGTATGTAGGAGGATGTCTCAATGCCGTGGGAGTCCCCATTCACATAAGTAATAGTTGCAATAACGTCACAGACTGCGACGTAAATTTGTTACACTTAGTATCAAATCATTCATGTATGGAAGTTCACACCAAACTACTTAAAATTGACTACACATGTGCACAAGGTATTTAAAATAGATTAGTCTAAACTTAATTACAAAATTGAATCGATTTAGTCCAGATTTTAATTATCACTTCTCGTAAGGGACGGTTCAACAAAGATGATTACAAATGAATTTACAAGTTAAAGAGAGGCGAAAGATACCAAAGGGACATTCAAACTCATATGTCGAAAATAAACTGGCAAAGCCATGGCTAAAAAAGAAAAAGACCAACATACAATAAAAAAAAGACAAAAAACAACATAGAAAACTAAAGACTGAGCAACAGGAATCCCACCAAAAACTGGTGAGGGACGATCTCGTGTGCTCCGGAAGGGTAAGCAGAATCTGCCCAACAAGTAGCGTCCAGAATGGCAATACATATTCTGATATCGTAACAAATCATCTGTATATTACAGCAAACAGTGTTTTTTTTATTGATGCATATTGATTCAAAATGCCGAGATTTTACAATATTTATACATACATTATGTACATGTTGAGAAAACAATTATATATTTCAATGTATAAGGTAGAGTATTTTTGTTATCAAAAACACTTATTTCATTGTAAGTATTTGGTCAAGTGGAACTAAAAGAAGTAATTTCAAGCTTACAATCCACGGGTAGTAACCTCGTCATATCGAGAAGCGTTTAGTACAGTGATTTTGTCATAGTTTGGTTAAGATGAACATGGTTGTGTTAAGTTACTTCCCGAACGATTGCCTCAGTTCTATTCAAACAAGCATATAAAAAGCATATAAGATGTTTTAATTTGCATTGTTAGTCAAACGATCTACATTGTAATTGTTGTTTTCAAGAAACTAACGCAGAATAAGCAAACTATCGAAATTGCTATGGTTTGGTTAAGTTATGACATGGTTCGGTTAAGTGTCTAGAAATTCGTCATGGTTTTGATCAAGTTTGTCATGGTTTAGAACAAAATTAATATGTATGTGTTTCAGCTCAATATTGATAGTTTGTTAAAAACGCTTGTAATTAAACGAAGTTACACAATTTACCAACTGACTAAGAAGAAAAAAAGCCTTTAATACCAAAATTAGATGCTGTAGTTGGCAAAGCGTACATTAAACAATTTAACTGTTCGTGACTTGTCTTTGTATGCAAATCGTACTACTACGAGTGTCTTGTAAAAGAATTAGAAATAAATGAGCACTCATGTACTCCCACATACAAAAACATCATTTGACAAGGATGATATTTTGGTGATTCATAAGTCCTTAATAGCTTCAATGAACATTACTTTGAGCAGCAAATCGGAGGACTTACCTTGTTTGTATTGGATACCTAAGCTTCACAAAATTTCATACAAACGGCCGTACATTACCAGCTCATCTGCATGTTCGACGAAAGAATTGTCCATTAGATTGACAGATTGTTTCCGCAATGAAAGAGGGTTTTAGGAAATACCGTTAAAATGTTTACTCGCGTAGTGGTATTAACCATATATGGATTTAAAAAAACAACTTTTAAGAACTTCTGAATCAATGTAAATCTCGATATTTCTCTGAAATAAGTTCAATCAAAACGTTTAATTTTTCAACCCTGTTTACCACCATTCCATATTTGTAATTGAAAAATCGTCTAAAAGAAATAATTTAAATCTACAATGCTTTTCAACATACAAATGGTAGCGCACGATATACATGTATTACTTTTGGATACCATACAGCATATTGTGTTAATAGTGAACAAAAAAATAAAACATGCTACACAGAGGAACAAGTGACCAGTATGCTAGAGTTTCTTATTGACAAAATATTTGTTGAATTTGGAGGTAGACTTTGTCACCAAATTGTAGGTATTTCTATGGGAGCGAACTGTGCGGCAGCGACCTCTTCTTATCTTCATATTAGTCGGAGTTCCTTCAGACATTTGTAAAAAACAAGAAGATCAAAGAAGCCAGATCATTTAATTTCACATTCATATATATTGTTCTTTCCATTAACAATCTAGACTTTTCTGATTGAATTCCATTAATATATCCCCAAGAACTAAAAATTAAAGGAACAACAGACACGGCTTCTATGCCTCATTTTTAGACTTATACCTCGAATTTGACATGAGCGGTCATCTTAGTACCAGAATCTATGACAAACGAGACGATTTTAATTTTAAAATTATCAGTTTCTCCAACCTTAGTAGCAAAATACCAACTTCTCCTGCAGATGGGATATACATTTCCCAACTCATTCGATATTCAAGAGCTTGCAGATGTTACTCAGACTTTATAAACCGTCACCAGTGTCTGAGCAGAAAGTTGATGAACCAGTGGTATGACAAAGAACGTCTCGTCCTTTTTCCAAACAAGTTCATCGGAAGACCTTGTGGGTAAATATTCCTTTTCAACTTCACAAATAATAAACGATGGTCTTAAAGTAAACATTCTAAGTACTGACGTTGTTTGTCACCTTAATGACGTGCTATTGTACTCTTTCATTTGTCTTTGTAAATTATTACTTTAACTGTTTAGTCTATTTTTGGCCCAATTCATTTGACGTGGCTCGGTACTTATACATCTTGTCATTGTGTTATTGTGCTATGGTAAACTTTTGTATTCTAGTCTTTCGTTTTTGCTTAATATGTGCTTTGTCTATATGCCTTTTTGTTTTTCTTTGTTGAAATATAATTATGTTTTGTTTTTATAGTGACTAAGATTATAACACAAATTTGCCTGCTGTACCCTTATTTTTTGACATTTTTACCTATTATGTCTGTTTGTTTTGTTCACACATCGTCGTCAATAGTCAGGAATACGACAGTTGTTATCCATTCGTTTGATGTGTTTCAGTTTTTGGTTTTGCCATTTGATTAGGGACTTTCCGTTTAGAATTTTCTTCAAAGTCCCGTATTTTTGTTATATTGCTTTTATAATTTAAATAGTCACTGCTCTTTTAAACTAACTTTTGAGATAATAATTACAAAAACAGAAAGGGCTGCTTCTGTTTCACATAATTATTTTCTCTGTATGTCCATGATTGACTCTGTCGATGTTATCGTGAGAGGCATCACTTGTAAAATTTGTAAAAACTATTAGTAAAATTAAAATAAAAAAAATAAAAAATACACACAACTTCAGAATTTAAATATATGAAAAATCACAATTCCGAATAAGAACGAAGCCGATTTAATGTCAACTTTTATCAATTATTATTACGAACGAATAAAAATTATTATGTTTTTGTAATGTTGTATAATTATACATTGGCTTTCTCATTTAAATTTTTTAAATAATATAATTTTGTCGGAGCCTTTTATAGCTTGCTAAAAGGTATGGATTTTGTTCATTGTTGAAGGCCGTACGACGACATATTGTTGCTTAAACCTACGTCATTTTGGTCTCGGGTGGATAGTTATCTCATTGGCAATCAGACCGCTTGACCTTAATATATAATACTACATTGAATGTGAGTATATATGTCCTTTTGTATTCCAAATAAAACGATTTGAAAAAGAGTATTTCAATATATATAATGTCTGTTTATTTTGATCGTTACTCTTCCTTCATTCACGAATAGAATCACATAACTGAACAATGTTCAACATGAAATAAACCATGACACGAATGAACCAAACCATGACACCTAATATTCTGTAATCTCAAATTGTGTGCACTAGGGACTGTTTTTCGGGAAAATTGACGGCAGTTTTATATCATAACAAAATATGTGATGTAGCAGATAGTAAGCAAACCACTTTTCTTTATGCATTAGAAACCAATCATAACTTCTAAATTTTGACCTACGGAAGCATTATTCTTAGTCAAATTGATAACTATATGATACAAAATTTTGATGTACTAACATATTAGCAAAGATACTTACCAGCTTGAATTTGTTGTCATTGGTTCCTTTAACAAACTAGTCGAATGTTTATATTTTGACACTGTTTGTCATCAAAAACACTTAACACAACCATGTTCATCTTAACCAAACTATGACAAAATCACTGTACTAAACGCTTTTCGATATGACGAGGTTACTATCCGTGCAATCGCTGCTATATGGGGTAACAATAACTGTTTTGTGTTTTCTATACACTACAAAATTACCGGCACATATTGTCGATTGTAAGCTTGATTTTACTTCTTTAAGTTGCTCTTACTTGACCGAGTACCAGACTGTAATACCACAAATCGTACAATTATATACTCTAGAGTCAAAAGTTGGTAATTTGAAAATGGTCTATTACTAGAGATCTACAATAGTTTATGACTCCGACCCGAGTTCGAACGATAGTAAAAATAAGACAGGTTAAATGTACTTGGCGATCTAATAATAAAAAAAAAACATTGTACTCTAAATATTTTAGTTGTTTTCGGCGATTGAAAAAAGCTACTAACAACTTCAACTATGACTTTAAGTGTGTGACTAGGATGCCTCCAATGAGTTCCCATGACTTTATAGCAATTCAATTCAACAAAAACATGTTCAACGGAGACTTTGGTATTCTGTAATAAGTCTGTTGAGTTTTTCACACTTTCTCTGAAAGTGGTCCGGCTTTCTGGTTATCAGCTGTCTGGTGTATGAATTGTATAGTTCTCTGTTAGACATATTTATGTACATTTCTAAAACAAGGGGAAAATGTACTGTTGCAATCTAATTTGATATGGATGATGATTGGAACGACTTAGAAAGTTAGTAAATTAAATACATGCTGATTAGATATTCAAAATAATGCGCAGCTAAAAAACATTTCTAACCTCAAAAGGTCTATCCAGTCCCCTTTAAAGACATGAAACAGGAGCAAGAGCAAACAATTATTGATTTGAAAGTTTTAAAATTTTGAACATATCCGTAAGCGAGAATAAACAAATGCCCTTTCTTCCCTTTAAATAAAAAATCACGCAAAGATTGAGCACGATAAAATTTATAAGTTTACAGATTATTTTGAGATCACCCCTATATCTTACCTGCATGATTTGAAGTCTTACTCGTTCTCTGATTCCGAAAGTTATTGTAAATCTCTATTGGTCTATAGTATCGTTCCAGTTTTAAGTTTCATTAGATAATAAATTAATGGCCGCTATATATAAATGAAGAGTTCACCATAAACATATTTTTTTCACCACAGTTTAATGTTTAGCCTTTAATTTCAACGTTAACATAAACGACAAACAAACTGTGATAACTGTAATTTAAATATTTTATTTGGACAACAAGAACATGAAGAAACCAGAAATACGACAAATGTTTTCCATTCATTCGTACTATGTAAATGAAATAGACACGGTCATCATAGTCAATCAGCACTAAATATTCACAGAAACCATATACTGTAAAGCGGGAGGTAAAGGTTAAAGCTATCAAATATGGTCAAGTCGTGAGAGAATTTTTGTCCTTTTATTTGTAGTTTATGTATGAATTCTTTCCGTGAATATGCCTATATGGAGTTATTTTCTTTCAGAACGACAGGTCATTCTTTTAAAGAAAAAAACTGGACGATACCAAGTTTCAATGAAAAGTGCCTCAAGGCATACAATAATGACCTGTGTCAGGTCATTACTTTCCCTGATTAAAATGCAAAACTAAAGACTACTAAAACATTTAATCCGTGTGTTGTTTTCAATTTGGTTTAAGTGTACAATTTTCTATTTTTAACACTTTTAAAAACATTAAGGCAGAAATAATTCTTTCCTCCTTGTAATAGGCTTGAACAAATACCCTTTACTCTATTAAATGACACAATATTCCTATTTTCTACAAGGGAACAGCCACGTTCTTTAAAAGGGAGGGAGGGCGGGCTATATTATTTCATCCTGATTTTAATTTTTGAAGAATAAAATGTATTGCCAGACAAAAGAGAGAAAACAATTATTCTGAAAAGTTCTTCTTCTTCTTCTTCTTCTTCTTCTTCTTCTTCTTCTTCTTCTTCTTCTTCTTCTTCTTCTTCTTCTTCTTCTTCTTATGTATTAATTGTACATCTTAACAATTCAGTTCCTTCTTGCTTCATGCAACTACAATATATACCATTTATATTGTAACTGGACGGTGATTTCTAACGTTAATATTACATGTATCTAGATTAATTAGTGAGTTTTATTTCACATTAAAAATGAGCCGTAGGGCGTTGTTATATATACTTAAACGTTTAAGAAAAGAATATCCTACTTCAAAGTGATCGGTAAAATAAGATACAATTCCTGTAAATCTTTACAGAAAATAATGTTTTTGACGATACATAAGTCAGATAGTGCATATTTTAAGATGTATCTTGTTGTATAACACACCTCGTGGTGTCAGGATTGCCCAAAGTGAGACCTCCCTACGGTCGGTCTTTCATTTGATTAATCCTGACACCCCTCGGTGTGTTATACAGCAGGAAACAACTTAAAATATGCATTATCTATAACCTAACTTGAACAACTCAAAACGTTGTTAATATAATATTTTGGGCAGTCCGACCCATAGAATACCATCATTCATAAGACCACAACTCTGTTGCGGGCGTTATTAAAAGGAAACATTTTTATTGCAAGTTTGTTTTAAAAAAAAATGGATTATTGTACTGAAACTAAGGTCGCAACTCCATCAGTCAAATATTGTCTTTGCTACATTTGGCTTTCCTGCTCGAAATCGCTTCAGTTGAGTCTTGATGCTTTTAATGGTCCATTTTCAAAACTATTTCTCAAAACTCTTGTCATCGAACTAAAATAATAGAGGTCATTCCAAAAGTAGATGCTACACACAATGAACATTGTTATAGAAACTAAACTTTGGTGACAGTGGGGGCAGACTGGTTATGAATGTTTAATGATGCTAATAAATGGGCGTCATAATTGATATCGTAGGGCCACTTTCCTTCATATCACAAAGCTCTGTGAAAATGTTGTATGCCAGGTAAGAGCAGAATACAAGACATAAGGGAAACATCGAAATGCTTTCAGTTGATTTCATTGAAGTTAAATCAGCAGAACAAACACTGTTCTGAGACTAATTTGTTTTCAAGTTAAAGGGACGTTCATATTATGGGTAGAGAAAATTGAATAAATTTGTGCATAGATGAAATCCATCATTGTGATACAGAAAACATACATAAGACAGCGGCACGAGATAAAGCCCAGGAAATAAGACAAATTGCTGCTGTCTGTCATACGTTGTCTCGAACTCGGTTGACTCGAAATTTTGGATGAGTCGAAGTTTTCCCGTGGTCCCGAACTTTATTCCATATAAATATATGTATTTCTACTCCGGATGAGTCAAAATTTCGGTTGACTAGAACCAAATGTACGGTCCCAAGGTTAACAAAAGCATTTATTTCAATTTTTATCTCGAACTAATACACATGTGTCAAAACATGTGCTCGTGGATTTAAATGGATTGAAGAGTTCATCTGACAATACACGTGTAACTAAATTTCCTGTCACGAACCACTGTATTGATTTATGACATTCTTTTTCCACGAGTGTTTACTGAAGATTATCTTTGATCACCATGAAGACTAATCAGTGATGCACTGTTATAGTTTATGAAAAATATTTTAAAAACAACTAAACCTAAGCTTACATTAATGCACTTGGTTTTGCATAAAGTAGGGATTAAGACATAGTGATCAGCCCAAACTTAATCGGCGTATTTAATCTTTTTATATTTTCTCTTGCAGAAAAAGACTGAAATAAAAGAAAATGAAAACAAATCTATTTTTTTTTTAAATCTCTTGTTTTCGAGAATGAACAATTTTGTCAACTTTAAATCACGTAAAGAATGATAGGAAATTACTCTTCCGGACAAAAACCACGAGAAAAATGTAACTGTACAAAGAAATAAATAAGAGACGAACAATCATTTATTTTTTATTATAATAATTAAAGACCATTATATACTATTTAATCGATCTCGGACAAGAATATCGACCCCCTACCCATGTTCATCTGGATTTATGTAAGCCTTACCACGTAGAGAAAAAGTACGTAGTGTCCATTGGTCTGTCAAACTTCCGAGTATCTCGAAATATTTCTCTGGTCCGCCTGCCTTCGAGGTAACGAGAGTCGGCTGTATTTATTTTTCGTCTGTTGTTTTATCACAAATCAGGTTATTGGTTTTCTTGCTTGAATTGTTTAACATTTTGTTTTGTCAGAATTCCATACGGAACACACTTTGCTAATTTTTGAAGGCCGTACTTACATATAAGTGCTTACATCCACGTCTTTTTGGTTTCTTGTGGCGACTTGTATCATCGTCAAATATACCAATCTCCTCATTTTCATATGCAAACTAGATATGATACAAACAAAGCTTTATTTAATACAAATATGTAGATGGAAAATTTACTTTTGTATAAAAGTGATGCGGGGTATACGTAATTGAACAACTCTCGACGGTCCCTGACTATAGAAATTGGTCCAGCTTCTACTTCTGATTGTAAAGAGTATGATAACCTCACAAAAAGCGTTTGTTTTTACGTTATGCAAAAAGAAATATCAATATCAATCAATTAATAAAACAGCAACCAAGCAACCTCTTGAAAATGGGACATTTATCAATTGGTATTTTACTATATTGTTGTACTATATGTGTTTCTTCGTTTTAATTTCCTGTCTTTTAAAACAGATTCATCGTATACTAAAGGAAGTGTTACTTCTGGGAAGAATCCTCTTCAGATGTCAATGTCAAAAACAGGTAAGAATTGATGTTATTCGAGACCAAATATGCATAGACGAAACAGACACGATACATATCTTCGTGTTAATCTATAGGTTTTTGTGTTACAATAAATTATCTTAATAATGTTGCTGAAATCACTCGTTTAAGAACAATCAGGCCACTTGCATTGACATACAAACTGTCATTTGCAAAGCTACCATTTAATGTGTATTAAATTATGCCCGGATTAGTCTAATCTGCATAAATAAAAGCAACAGTAGTATACTGCTGTTCAAAAGTCATAAAAAATTGAAAGAAAACAAATCCGGGTAACAAACTAAAACCAAGGGAAACACATCAGCTATAAGAGGAAAACAACGGAACAACAGAAAAACTGAAGTGCAACAAAAACAAACGCCAACATACACATGATACATAGAAACGAACTATTTGATAACAACTGCCATGTTCTTGATTTGGTACAGGACATTTTTAGAAAAAATGGTGAGTTGCACCTGGTAATATGGCTAGCCAAACCTCCCGCATATATGGCAATGTTAAAAGATATTGCTAAAATGACAACACTACGTGACAGAAATACAGTCTGATGCATGTACATGTGCTGTATAATGAAGATAAACATCAATCTTAATAATATTTTAGGAACAACAACTATGTCATCTCAATCTCAAGCAAAGTCTTCCACACAAAAGCACGATGAATATTTGTCAGGTAATATGCAAAAACATAAAATGTATATACATGCATAATGAAAAAGCAATATGTATCTTAGATCTAAGTGAAATCAAATTTTAACTATTACAGATACGTTAATTATTAAGTATGGATGATTTATGATAATAGTAATAAAATTATAATAATAATAATAGTAATAATAGAATTATAATCTTACAGTTATCATAGTAATACTGATATGTGTTACTTTATTTAAAATTATTATTATTACTATCATTATTATAACCCAAGTATCTAAAGAGGTTGGGGGTCTCGGTTGCCGTGTTTATGACGAAGTTCACCTACAGTTTTACTAGTCTGTAAACACTGTGGTCATGAGTTCAACTCCAACCTTTATTGACTAGGATTAAACATGTTCCTACCAAAGATCGATAGTTCTTTTCGGTCACCTCAGAATTCCCCAACAATAAAAACTAACCGCCACAGTACAGCCAATAGTGCAAAAACCAACTAATAGAATTTTCTAAGGTGAGACATAGTAATATAAAGTTCGTCCATCCGTTTGTTTGTCGTTCTTTACCATAAATGAATTATCAAAAGCTCCTGAACTGCTTAACACCCTTTTGTTGAACTTTCATGAAACCATAAATTTTGCTTACTTTTGCTCACACCATATATTTTAAATTTTCATGTGTGTCTTATTATTGCTTGTGTTAAGATGTTAATTCGTACCTCCATTTTTATTCTTGGGTTTTATTTTGAATGAAATGGACTCTTCCATAGCTGTTCAATATATTTAAAATTCATATGTGCTTTTCCACCTAAATTTCTTATTCAAATTAAATGAAACCTTTTCAGAATTGTTACCATATAGTACATCGTGCATCTCACATTTGTTTGTTTTTTTTGGCCCATCTTATGTTTAGGAGTTCCCTCAATAAAACATGAACTGAAGTAATGCTTTTTGCACCTCCACTTTTATTTTTATTAGACACATTTTAGCTATTCCTTCAGAGAACAATGTGCACACAAACATTATCATGTATATCCATTTCTCGTCCAAAACACCTGATCAGAATTTGATGAGACCTTTTGTTAGTTATAACCTCAATAATTCCTAGAATTATACCCACCGTAGCATGGAACTTGAAATAGATCAGGTTTCATGTAATTACCAATGTTACTAATATCTCTAGTTATTGTTATTGTTGTGATTGTGTTTTATTAACAAGTGACCCACACCTGCATTAATTTACATTTCTAAACTGTTACCAAACATCTATTCGGTATAACATTTAATGTTATTGAATGTGCAGAGCGGCGTTCACAAGTGCCGATATGGCTCCCGTTTGAGATTAGACAGCTTTACTGAACAAAAAGTGAAAAAAGTTACTATTATGAATGATATGGAATGTCCTATCATTGTTTTAATGCAGCAGTATATGTTGGTAACAGAGTCCTACGGATTGTGAATTGTCCAAAGAGTTTGCCAAAGTACTTTGTTTGCTTCTTTGTCTTTTTCATTTCTAGCCATTGCGATGTCAGTTTATTTCCGACTTATGCGTTTGAATGTCCGTTTGGTATCTTTCGCCTCTCTTTAAGAGACGTTCCGTAACATTTGGGAAACTCAGTCGATTTTGTCTAGTCGCTATATCATGACAGTTTCTGCTGTATCTGATCTCAATCGCTAAACTTTCATGTGACGTCTGTCCGGTTTGCCCCTCATGAGTTGTCATGATCTTGGAAAATTGGTCATTGCCTATTTTGGCCTATTAAGTCAATATTTCGTCCCGATCTTGCAAATGCAAATCGTCTTTGCCGATTCTGTTTAAGATCCCATCCGGGAAATCGGGATGCTATCGAGATATATTCAATCGTTTTTGAAAATACAAAAATACACATCGGATCAGATTTGAAATGAGAACGGAATAGTCGAGACAAATTAGACTGGATACTGCTTATTCGGTACGATTCCTGCACAATTTCAGATTGTTGTCGTGATCTAATAAATGTTTTCACAAATTAGAAAAAAAAATCCAGCTACGTGTCACAGAATCAGGACTATATGACAGCGGCTTAAAGGGTATAACAATCTCTATTTGTATTACCCTTCAGGTGATATTTAGTATTATAAAGAATTCATCCTTTCGAATTTTATGTGTCAATATTTTTACTTATGGTTATAATTAACAGATAGAACAATAACCATAGTTGTACAATCACAATTTCTGAAATCTATTAATCTAATGTCACCTTTTCCAAAGAACAATCTACACTGACGAAATCATACAATTTCATAATTTTTGTTGCATCAACATATGTTTTGAGAACTTGAAACATTATTAGTACACGAAAAATAACCAAATAAACGAACATAACGATACAATTGAATGTGCATTTGAATGCCTATATACATGATATAGATACATTCAATTTAAGTTATAAACATTAATGTAAAGTTATTGGCCGGTTCGTAATACTTTATTCGATATTCAGTATAGGGCATTATAAAAATAATGATTGCCAATGAGACAACTATCCACCAAAGTAAAATAAAGTGGATGTAAGCAATTATAGGCAACCGTGTGACCTTCAACAATGAGAAAAACCCAAATCGTATAGTCTGATATGAAAGGCCCCGACATGAAAAATTTTAAACAATTCAATTGAGAAAACTAACGGTCTAATTTATAACAAAACAATTTACGAAAAATAAATATGACAGACATGAACCAACGACAACAACTGAACTTCAAGTTCCTGACTTGAAACAGGCACATAAAGAATGTGGTGGGGTTAAACATGTTTGTGAGCGCTCAACCTTCCCCCTAACCTGGGACAGTGGTGTAACAACGTCAGAACAAACTATAAAAATAATTGAAAAAGGTTTAACTCATCAGATCGATACAAAAAAAAAAACATTTAAAAAACACAGACAGGACGTGGCAGGGTGTATATCTAGCAGCCGGTTCTATATTAAAAAAAAAATATGGATAGTTAAAAGAGTTCTTGAAATGATAACCATTTTTTAGAAAGTAGATATAAAAAAAACTTAAGCTACAGATATAATGGTGTGATTCCTACGGATAATCGCAGACCATCATTGTCATCAAATGTAACCGATTTCATCTTTTGTATAGCTTATCTATTTATTTCGATAAGAATGAATCAAAAGTACTATTTTATTTCATGACCACGGCTAAATTTCGTAGATTAAAACACGGACAATGAAAAATACCTAACTGTGTAAAATCATAACGGATATTTTTCATGCATTTTATCTGCCTGATCTTTCAGTGTCTATACAATTTTGGTTTAATTTAGGCTTTGCATAGATAAAAATACCATCAAAATGATATGTTAATGGCATGTATTCGGTCTGTTTGATGAGAAGTTACTATTAAGAGGGATTGGTAGAAAAATTGTGTCTTCAATATGTACATAGGGCTCAATGTGCCAGCTTGATGTTCAAAATAATGCAAATAAATCACCAGGTACAACTTAATGACAATTCACCGTCCTGATCTTTTAAGATCTGTAAAATTTAGGTTTTCGTAAGGCTTGGCCTATATATAATTACTTTCAATAGGATGTACGGAGGACTCAAAGTGTATTTTTTTCTGTAAAACAAATCAAAGAAAAACGACGGGTGAAAATAAAATGTGGCCTTGAAATCTCTTTACTATAGTCTGTAGCTACACCAAGTTTTTAAGTTTTAACCAATTGTTTTTGACATTGAGAGACCAGGAAGGTCTCGTAGTCAATAAGACGGTCTACTGTAATCTTTTGCAATAAACTTTGAATATCAAACTGTCATGTTGCGCTCTTCGACGACAACGACGAAAACAGTGTTAATACTATTTTTGGGGGCATTTGCATCTCTTTGCCTGATTTTATGAAGATCGATGGATAATGAAGGTGCAGTCAATACAGGTTTCAAAAAGATAACAAACATATTCCAAACTATTATTCTGCACTGGTTGATTTGACTTTCTATGACAGTTAATACTGTAATTTAAAATAAAATTACTGCTTGTATTAATAGACTGTAGAGGATTGAATCTAATTAATTATTTACATATTTACACCTCTCTATTGCTGAATACTCACACTGTATATTGCCCTCTAGACGTATTTTGATTATTTTTATCGTGTGTTTAGTATCTCGTTGATATATAAGTCATATCGTTTTTGACATGCTACATACATTGCATGTATATTAGCATAAAAAACACAGAGAATGACAAACTTGTCTGTATGCTTTGAGAAATCTCTGTAATGTAAAGTTGAACAGTTTATTTTGAAATGTCATTCTACCAGTTGTAGTATGTAAGGCATATACCAATACAACAGTACATTTTTACTGCATGCAAATAATCAACAAAATTTAACAGGGTAAACACTAAGACTGTCATTTGGGAAGGGGCCTGCTTTTTCTGTTTACTATGGCCTTTTGTAGCGTTCTTCAGTTATCAACGATATTTGTTTTGGAGTAGTGGTATGTTCTTTTTGCCACGATTTGATTGTCTTTCTCCAAGTTATGGTGCTTGGATAACTATCTCGTATCCAAATACTTGTTAATTTTAATGTTCAGCTGTTAGTGTTATTCGATTTGAACCAATAATTATCTTATGCAATCACTCAAAAACATTACTAAAAAAATGAAACATGAAATTCTTTATTGTTTTTTTTTTTTGTTGTTGTCTAAAGCAGTTTTGTATAGTTAATATATACCTAAGTATAACCGAATATATATAATATATTTTGAATGTTATGTTATAATTTATTAGATAGGACTACAAACACCGTTCCTACACATGGTACTAAATCGACCGGAGATAAATTAAAAGGCAATGGTGGTAAGTTGTTTTGTCATCATTTCACAAGTTATCATTATTGACAACAATACATCAAATTGAATTAAGATTGTCACATGTTTGATATTATTTGGAATACGCATACGTAAAATAAAAACCATTTAGCTTTCAGTGCCGTAAAGATAATCTTCGAAAACGTGTGTGGGGGTGTGTGTGTGTGTTTTTTTCTTTTTTTTTTAAATAGATAATCTTTTTATTACACAACTTCCTGTTTACAATTTCCTCAGTTACCTAGGATGAAGACTAAGGATCCCCGTTTACAATTAAACCAACTGCCCGGGAAGCAATAGCTAAAAAAAGTCCACAATTTTCTTTAAAATAAAAACAAACTCAGTATTTATTACCTGAAAAAATAGTATAATAATAATTATAAATATTCTTTTATATAAAAATAAATGAAAAAACAACATTATAAAATGATCGAGTGCACCGCTGAACAATGGACTACCTACTACAAATTAAAGAGAACATACAAGGCAGACCACATAACATCGTGATTGTTTTCCCCCTTACCATGCTTACGGTTAGTAATTATCATATATAATTAATTAACGTGTTTAATTTGTCTTTGATTATTGCAATTGAACATTCCATTATATGAAAATATCTTTGATGTTACTAATGATTGTTTTGGTTGTAATGCAATCTAACAATGCATGTTGCAAATTTTCATTACTATTTACCAATCTTTTAGGTTTAATTTTTTTATCGTTTCTTTCTTATACATGTTGTATGAACATTTCATCAGAAAGTTTCATTTCTATGTTTGTATTTTTATTAATATTTCTACAAGTTTCAACAATATATATGAAATTGATTGGTATCGAACTTTCAACTCGTCACAATTTGGATATACAGTTTCTTTTATCTACAAATTTTCCAAATATAGAACTGCAACTATAGCAATGTATAAAATTGGTTGGTTTCTTCATTCTATATATCTTTGATATATGTTATGCTACTTGTAAGAAAGGAATAAAAAACTATGGCTCATTTTTGAATGAAAGTTTTGAATTAACAAATGTTCTCATATTAACTACATCTGTTTTTTTTTTTTTTTTAATATTATTATCGCCAGTCTGTAGAAAATAAGACCTTGTATAGATAATTTTCTGATAAAATAAGTGAATATTTTAAAGATTTAGTCCGGTAACGTTTGAGCACTTACATAAAAATATTGATTATTATACTTGTTATCAAATTGTTAAAGCCAACTCTTGCCAATCGCATTCCAGCTCTCTAACGGTTCATGAAGAATGCGATACAGAGTCTTTATTTGTTTCCTTCTATTGAATAGATCGATACTAATCAGTTCCATTCCACCCTTTGTTATCCCAAGACAATAAACCTGTCTTTCATTTTGGATAATTTTTCAATCCCATATAAAATTCTAAATAATACTGTTTATTTCTTTTAAATATTTTTCAAGAATTCCTTGCATTTCTATTTCATAAGAGCATATAGGCAATATGAAATATTTTACTGTTAAAAGTTTTCCAACTAAATGAAAGTTTCCTGTTTTTCCACACGTGGACACAGTTTTTAATCTTTTCTTAAATGCTTTGCCATTTAGCATCATTACCGATTTCAAAACCGTTATTTATTCCGAGAGTTTTTACATTACCTGTAATCCATTTTATGTTGTTAAATTTAAGCTTTTTCCTTTTACGAGATCCTATAAGTAAAACGTTTGTTTTATCGTAATTTATTTTAGATCCCGATGCTTTTTCATAGAGTGTTCGGACGTGAAAGGATTTTTCTACTGATTTCTCATTTTTCCTAAAAAGTTGTGTGTCATCAGCAAACGTGCATAATTTTTCTTCAATACTTTTACCCCCTCACCGGGTATCTGAACCCTTTCAATTTCCTTGTTGCCTTGTTTTGTACATGCCATTGGTTCTGCTTGCAATGTCTTGCCGACCGATTATCGAACAATATTTTGAAACATGTCCATTCTTTTTTATGCAAGTTACAGCATCATAAAGTAACATTTTGATTCATTGTCTAAATTTTCCCCAATAATTAAACTTTTCTAATACAAAATCCACCCAATCCGATTTAACCCTATCAAAGGCTTTGTGTTGGTCAAGAAATATCATTATTCCCTCTTCATCTTCGTAGTCTATTATATTCTGAATTAATCTGTTAACATCACTCATGTTTCTTCCTTTGACAAATCCGTTTTGATCTGGATGTATTTTTTTGGTAAGACTTTTTTCAATCTTATTGCAAGAAGTTTTGCTACGATTTTTTAATCGGTGTTAAGTTAGGCAAGAGGTCTCCAGTTTTTAATATTTTCTCTTTCACCACCCATATGTAATAACGTAAGAAACGCTTCATGTTGAGATTTAATTAAAACTTTCGTGAAGGAGTGTAAACCAATCTCATTTTATTATATCCCAATACAAAATGTAAAATTCAGATATAATGCCATCCTCATCTGACGATTTGTTGGTCTTTAGAACTTTTAGCACGTTTTGTAATTCTTCCATACTTATTTTGCAAGCATTTCCTTATCGTCGGAACTTATCCTATTTTCTTCAATATATTGGCAAAGATTTTCACTGGACTGAGTGTCCAACCCTACTGAATTAAAATGTGTTGAATAAAATTGTGCTTGTTCTTTTAATATCGAATCAATATTATATTCATACATACCCGTTTTTGTTTTAATACGATTCCAAAGTTTCTTTTTGACCATTTTTCTTTCTAAATTAAAAAAAAAAATTTTCAAAGATTATTTAACTTTTTCTGCCTATTTAACTTTTGCTCTCATTTTCGCAGATCTAGTCAGATTTGTATAAACATCGATCCTTTATTTTACGTTCAATTTCAGTTATAAGATTGTTTTACCCTTTATCCATTTGAATGCTTCAAGTCGTTTTTCTAGCTGTTTAATGTGATTTTATTAGACAACTGTTGGAAATTCTCTTTTACTTTTGATTACATCCCACCATTCTTGTTAATCATAAAATTTGTTTTTACTATTTTTCCATCCTTATTAAAAGATTTTAAAACTTCTTTTTTAATTGTGTTTAAATTCATAATCCATATACCCGGTCCTTTTTCTGTATCATCTAGCTTGATATTTGATGTAACAATTTCGTGATCGCTGAACGAGAAATGGGATATACGAGTGTTAGATATTTTACTATTAACATATTTGATGCAGAAAATTAAATCAATACGAGACTTCCAGTTTCATATCTGAAACGTATAACGTTTGGTATCTGGAAAGCGTGATCTCCATACATCATCTAATTCATTTTTAATTCTGTTGTGCCGACGTCATTTTTGATGATAACCTATCTAGTTTTTTTATTGTAAGTACAATTAAAGTCTCTTAATAAGACTGTGTAGTGTTCAACGCTATCATCGTCATACATCTTATTACTCAAATTATGGAAATTTTCGTAAAAAGTCTTTCTATCGCATCCGTTATTTGGTGTGTTTACATTAACAATATGATATATAATGTTATCTCGTTTGAAGTCACACATTTGACATTTTCCAATATCCTCGCGATTAATAAAAGTTACATTTTTGGACAATTATATTTGTAAAAGGAACCTCACACCCCTTGAATCAGAATTCCACAATTCCAAACGCATTCGCCTCTCCCGTATTCTTTCCAGTTATTACCCCAGTTTTTATTATCAGTTTTCGTACAATGTGTTTCTTGTAGACAAAAAATATCAAACGTATTTGAAACTAAGGTCCGTGTATATTTGCGTCCATTCGTTTTTCATTTTGAAATATCAAAAACGAAAAATAAAAAACGAGAGTGTTTTCATTTTTCGTTTTTGATTTCTCAAAAACCAAAACGAAAAACAAAAGTGTTTTCATTTTTCGTTTTTGATTTCTCTAAAACCAAAACGGAAAACGAAAGTGTTTTCACTTTTTGTTTTTGATTTCTCTAAAACCAAAATGAAAATCTAAAGTGTTTCCGTTTTTCGTTTTTGATTTCACTAAACAAGAATTTTGTATTTAATTTTTATTATTTCTCGTTTTATAATGTACAATGTTTTCCTTTCTTGTTTCAGTCATTGATAGTAAATAATGCCAATGTAAACACCCCGGTGTTCTTTCAACATAATGTAGACAAAATAGACCGCCTGACTTATGAATTGAACTACGGTGATAAATGAACCAAAGCCTTTCAAATTACCTTGTTTATATCTTTAATAAAAAATAAATTATTATATTTAAATGTGATACGAATCATAAATTTAAATTGTACAATACAATATTATATAAAGATGGTACAAATAAAAAGATTGATTACAACATCACATTAACAAGGGAGGTTACTACTTTTTAAAACTTATAAGAAAACTACCCCGGTCGTTAAAGTATACATGCACAGTCACGTTGGTTATTAGATCTTTAATCGAAGATAATGTCGACGGATGCAAAAGACTTTATCAATCTGAACAATAGGGGTGCGTGATCTTTACTTTTAATTTTAGAAAGGTTGATCTCAGATGATTAGAATTCATGACCAAGGTCCATTATACGAACATTCAGGACGATAATGTGTTTTGCTTGATCAATTGATTGAAAAACAAATTTCCGCAATTTCACAATTCAAACCGGGATTAGCATTCAATCATTTTGCCATTCGGAGCCTACTCGGTATTAGGTTTGCTTATTTTTGAAATATATGGTGACCTTAACTAGAGCCTGGGTGTGGATGGGGGTTTACGGAATAGAAAATAGTGGGCAAAAAATATGAATAATAGAGACAATGGACCAAGAAATAAAAAAAAAATAGAATAATGAGGTGTTAAAATATAAAGAGAACAGAATAATTGGCAAAAAGTATAAAGAAATAAAGAATAGAGAAAAATGGCCTGAAACACTGATTAAAGAATAGAGAAAATCGGCATAGAATATCAAAGAATACAGAAATGAGGAACCCCGTATCCAGACCATCATCCTAATTTCCGAAACCAACGTTATTTTGTCTCCGGTAGATTGTT